GTGCAGAGACATCTCCTCCAAATTCCAGGGCCGTTGGACTCAACTGGTCTGCAGGCTGGGTCTCTTATATACTTAAGTAAAGACCGATGCTCTTTGCTGGTGTCACTGCTCTGAATCACACACAGAAATACTGGCCTAAAAGCTCCCCACCAATTGCCACATCTTGCTGGGGGTGAGGGCTCCTACTCCCTGAGTATGTGAGGGATGCAGCCTTACATTCACTCATTCAGACCTCCACACCGCTCATCAATGAAATGCAACGCTCTCTTCGAGTCATCTCTTTCTGCCTTAAACATGTAAAGCATCTTGCAAGATGCCTAACACCCAAAGGGGAACTGGGTATGTCTGTTGAGTGAGGACTGTTGAAGGAGAAACTTTATTTTAAAGCAAGGGAACTTCAGACACCGTACGAAATAATTACCACTGTGGAAATACTTGTCTCCAGGAAGGCAATTTAGATACTTACTGTCCCAAAGTTGGGTGTCCAATTCATTCTCTAACAAGCACTTTCTCGTAGAGAGAGGCACATATATTATAATAAATACATCACTCTCTCTATAAAATATCTCAAAGCTTATATATAAAAATGTACATTTTTACATATAATGTACTGGTTCGTATCATATATATATGTGTGTATATATATATATATATATATCACATATATATATATCACAACACGGCAATATACATGTAGCATTATGTGTTCCCTTCAGGATAGGAATTCAAGCTTGACAGCAGAGGAGACCAAGTATAATTTATCAAAGGCAAGCATGGCAATGACTCCCCCACAACTGACGAGGCCTCTAGAGCTAGTAGTAATGACCTCAGCCGACTCAGCGTCCCCTAAAGGTCCTGAGACAAGGCCTTCAAGAGAAACACTGGTTGTCAAGGTCTTAATTTTCAGATGGAAAAATAAGACAAGCGCCAGAAGCTGGCAAGAGGCTGGGGGGCGAGGAGAGGGTGGATGAATAGGAAGGGTACCCTGTTCGCAGGTTCTCCAGCTCCAAGCTACTCTGTGGACGGTTGTTGGATGAAGGAGCTGGGGGCACGATGTCACTGCTACATGCAACATAAATACCAAAAGAAAAAAGGAACTGCAATTGTACAGAAAATAAAAGAAGTATCTCTTCTAGAGAAAGACAGGGGGAACTGGACTCCGGGCTGCTGGGAACCCGTTTTACTCACAATATATCACTACCAGTGTGCAGTTAAAATAGAGTAGGGGCCGTATTCCAAGGCAGCAAAGAGAAAAAAAAATAAATCAAAAAATACGTCAATGATTAGAAGTTCAAGGAAATTCCTTCAAACACAGCAATTTAGACATGACTTGCCCCCTAGGAGTCCACCCTTCGGCCAACTTCTAGAGGCTGGGGGAGAAAATGTAGCTCATTAGACCAGGCTTGTTACACAGGAAAAGAAAATGGGTAAACAGTAGATTCTGAGAGCTCGCTCCTTGGCCAGACGGCTGAATTTGACTCTCTTCCTTGCTGGAGAACTATGAAGAAATGGGGGAAAAAATGCAAACGTTAAGCTGTACTACCACAGAATTTCCAGGAATGGAACAGCCACGTTCGGTATTTCTCCAGAGTATGACACGAAATGTTGAAGGTGGTTGAATGGACGTGAATTCATTTATCAGTGAATGGTGAGGTTGGGGGTAGGGTGGAGGGGGGTGTGGAAAGGGAAGAGCTAGGTTGGGAGGGGAGGGTTAGAAAACTGTGGATAAAGACTAGGGGTGTCATCAGCTCTGCCCTCAGGGAGCGGTATCATTCCAGGGTGAACTATTAATACATGGCCTACCAGCTTTGGACAATTGGTTACGTGAGTCAGCTGCCCTCTCCAGTTGAGGACACATCCAAAGGCAGGGGAACCTCCCAGTGCATTATTAATAATTCTAGCTCCTTCTAATGAAAGTTTCCTTGCAACCAAACCCTGTCCTCCCCAATTTCTTAACTTGCCTGGCATACCCAGGGAAGCTCACATTTAATAATTCATTGTAGTCTAACCACCCCTTACACATACACAGCTGCACCCGCCCTCTGTAACACAGGCTGCTATGGCCTCTTCATTAGGAAAAACACTCTTTGGACAATTCTGATTGTTATCAAATATTAACCTCACAGCTGAGGAGCCCAAGGAGGGAGAGGGGTGCAGAGAGAGGGAGTGAGACCCTTGTCACACCAGCTTGGCTTCGCCGAGACAGCCCTTCAGTAGCAATCTGTGCTGTGCAGGATGGGCAATCGTTCGACTCACTAGCTGAGCCAATGCTAAAGGAAATGCAGAGAGGGGAATTATTTCAAACAATTATGTGCCTCTCTCTCCAGGGTGAGGTGAAAGTCAGCTGCTGTTTGCTTCCCTGGAACCAAGATGGAAAAGTATCCTAGAGGCCAAATCCTCATTTCTAGGGACTTAAAAAAAAAACTGTGTGCTGGGTACCACTATGGCCCTGCGAGGAACATGCCAGAGTGAGAGCAGAAGTCGGAGATGTCTCTCTTCCTCCTGCCATCTCTACACTTGCCACTTGTTCTCTGATCAGTCACCAAGGAGACCCTTTAAAATAAGAACTGGCGATATCATTACCTTGCTTAAACTTTTCCAATGGCTGTATGTACTGCAGGACTGAAACCAAGCTTCTTACCACACCCCCTGCCTTCCTCCCTGACCTCATCTCATACCACTCTCTCCCCAGTCCCACCAGCCCCACCAAACTGCCTTCCTTTCCTCCAACACCGCTCACTTATCCCTGCCTTTGCCTTTGCTCTTCTGCCTACCTGGACCGGGTCTCGGCTTCAATGTCACCTCCCAAAGGAGGCCTTCCAGATCTTCCCAGCTAAAACAGGATCCATAACAGGCTCCTCACACCCACAGTCCGTCCCCTTTCTCTCCGGAGCACTTGTCCCTCTCTAAAGGTGTTTCGTTATTTCTATGATCCTTGCTTGTCTCCATTCACCAGAGTGAAGGCTTCAGGAGGGCAGGGACTACATCACTCACCGCTCCATCCCTAGCAACAAGAGTAAGACCGGGCACAAAGAAGGCCCTCACAAACACATGAATGGCTACTCGACAAGGGAACGAAGCCTTACCATTTCACTGACACCCCCATGGGGCCAGGTTCTCTGGCAAATATCCCGTCATGGATTATAGGCGTCAGTGTTCTCCTGCACGCCCCAATCCCCTCCACTACAAGTGCTCCCTCACAAAAGAGTTCACCCTTTCTCCTGAACTCCCGCCTTGGGGTGCTGTGTTCCTTCGGATGGAAATGATTTGGGCAACGCCGGGTCATCTGAGCTGTGTTTTTGTGTTTCCAACCAACTGTGCTGAGCTGGGTGCTCGGCCTGGCGAGAAGGGCCATTTGAGTCACTGCATCTGGGGTGCTCGCCTGGCGAGAAGGGCCATTTGAGTCACTGCATCTGGGGGATGGATGGGGAGTGAGTCTGTTCTGTGCCTTGACAGACAGGCCCTTAGATGCTCTTCCTGGTAGGTTGTAGGAATTGGAGAATTCTTAGGCCCCAAGAATCTAAGTTAGAAGCTCTTGTCAAGTGATACGGAGACTCATCTTGGGGAGGTGTCAGAGCTGGTGGATGAGGGGCCATGGATGTTAAGTCAGTGGGGGAGGGGGAGCAATCAGCCTGAGAGGATTTCTGTAGAAACTGCTCTGGACCAAGAGTGCTACCCCTGGGTCTTCGCCCACGAGGTTGAGTGTCTCCTCCGTGCTCCAGCAGAGCAATGCTTCTATCTCACTGATTTTGCATTTACTGTGCCCCCTTTTAGGGGTGCTGTGAAGGAAGTCCTGGCTTCGATCAGCATATCTCAGGAATGGGGGCCCTTCTGTCTGGTTTGTACCTGTGAAAAGTATTTTATGGAGTGATCTCTTACAACTGGGTTCTTACTCCTCAGACCCAAGGTCATCCACCTTGCCCTTCTCTTGCAAAAATGATCAGGATGCAGCATCGAGAGAGACCTTCAGGTGAGCCCGAAACCTGGTCTGCCAGACCTGTGTGACTCTCAGCAGTCTCATCTTCTCACTAAACTTGAAGCCTCTGTTTCCTCTTTCTAAAAAATGGGATTAATAACACCCCCTGTCAATTACACGGGGTCATGGTGAGGAGCAAAGGGGATGATGACCACCGCGAGCACTGGGAACGTTCAGTCACCACAGGGAGGGAGGCATCGCTATTGTTTCCTCTAGGGTTGTGCACAATTTCGTCAGGCGACACAACCTAATCACTGCAAACCTCACTTCAAGTGCTAGCTTTTCGAAAGCTCACCCTCCAACACTCCTGATTTACTGTATCTTTCTGAAGAGGTCCCGCTGGCAAGCCGCTTTGTAAGGAGTTTGAGACAGGATACACCAGAAGCTATCGTGAGCCCAACCTAGTCCACCCCAAAGGGCAGTGGGGCTTGAGGTTGGTCACTGGGACGACGGCAAACAAAGCCCACCGGTGATGACCGAGTTCTTTTCTTGGGCCAATCCGAGCGTATCACAACTGAAAACTCTGGGCTGCGGTACCCAAACCTGCAGGAACCCCACATGGAGAGAGAGTCCGCTCCCATTTGGGAGACCAAGTCCTCAGACTCAGTTCCCCTCTCAGCCCTAGCACAGCCATCTTTACACGTGGTGGTCCCCCATCCATCGGAAATCACTGTGCAAAAACGCTTGCTCCTCCCAGGCCTCGCCTGCCCTCCTTTTCATACATCGTATTGACTGTGTTCGACTGGACACATCTACCTAGAGTCATCCCCTTAGAGTCAAGAAGTGAGGATCAGGCATGAGGTTCACGCCCAGGTGTTGACAGCAGTGACTTTTCATCCTCTGCTCTAATCAAGCAAGGACAGGTATTTCTTTCCTGTCTCTTTAAACTGCGGGGTGAAACATAAACATATTCAAGAAACCTCTTGATGTTTAGTGTTTCTTGAAAGGGAAAAGGAGAAGGGAAATGAATTTTGGGGAAAAAGGAAGGCAGGAGGGAGGGAAGGGGGAAAGAAACACTACTTACGCCGTTTGCAGCCGCATTTTTTAATTCTTTTGGGATCCGTGATGTCATCATGACAGGCCTTGCAGTAAAAAAATGCCCTGGAGAAAGAGAATGGAAAAACTGACACGTTTCATAATCCACCCAAGTGAAATGAGGACCACATTTCCTCCATCATGGTGCCAAATTAATGAAACACGCCAGCACTAATTTCCTTTAATCTTCTGAAAAGTTTAGACGTTTACAGACGGAAATGTTTGTTGCAAGACCATTCATTTCAAACATAGGATTCTGCAATTTGAGTTAGTGCTTCTTTTCGTGAACTTTTTATTTGAAAAGGAGCCAGGAGAAAGACTGCTGATGTGATGGGACCACGTCTGCTCATTCCTCTTTCATTGTGGAGGACAGAACTGAATGCTGCTCATCAGAACACGTGGGCAACCAGCGCTGGGCCCTCGGTGGGAAGTTAAATACACCTTCAACATCCTGACAGCCTGCTCAAACAGGAACTAAAGGGGCACAATTCATAATCAAATAAAAATATTAGCCTTGTGACTTTAAAGTGCTTTCTCTGGTCAGCCAAAGAGAGAGGTTGAGGGATTTCGAGCCCATATTTTACTCTCAAACTGGCTGGACCCACTCCCATGCTCTCCAAGCCTGACAACACGCCATCAGTGAAGGTTTTCTTCTCTCTAAGGCATGCAGCTCAGCTGCCCCCTGGGCTGAGGTGGGCAGAGAGTATTACAGGGTTGAGGTGGATAGAAGGAGACCCAGAGGAAGCAATCAACAAGCAAATCCCCTCACGGGATTCAAGTGTTGGTATGCGATTACAAGGTACAGTGGCTGCGTCAGAGATACCCCGGATGAGACAAAACAAGATCACTGGAGCACTGTTTAAAATTCACTGGGGGGCTGTGTCCTTTCAGTCCTGAGGGTTCTGTGATAAAATTCATTGAAACAACCTTCTGGATACTGGGACTAACAAAATTCCTGGCTTATCTCCTTCACCACTCCCAGTAGGCAATTCAATGCCAGGGAGGAACATAGTCTTTCTTCGACCTGGGCTAGGAAGAAATCAACATAATTCTTGACCCTTTTATTCTTGGTTCCTTTTTATGGTTTTCACAAGACTTCATTTACGATTGGCACTGATTGGAAACCAACAGTAAGACTTCAGGATTTGGAAGAGACCATGGAGAACTTGCAGCCAAAGTCCCTGGGACTCGGTGTCCTCATCTGTAAATTGAGGAGGTTGTGGTGACCTGTCCAAAGTCATCCTTTCTGGACCTTGGCCGGCTCCAGGACTTCTAAATCCAAGTCCAGTGCTCTTTCCACCCTAGCAGCTCATCCCCTATTTAAATGCCAGTTTTTGTCCATGGACAAAAAAGAAAAGCCAGCTAATTATTTGCCTGAGTGGCAATGCCACTAAGGACCCAATCAGTGATGACCTGCCTGGAAAGTGGAAGGACAGGAAAGAAGGAAGAGATTTTGCTTCCACTGCCTTTGGTTATTTTCTTCCCCTTTTGATACTTTTACACATAATAATAATTGTAACAAAAACAATAGCTAACATTTATAGAGCACAGATCATTGGCCAGGAGCTGTTCTAAGCATCTTATAAGAATGAACATATTTCATCCTCAAACAAACCTTTGAAGGAGATAGGATTATTATTTCTGTTATACAAGATAAGGAAACTGAAGCATAGAGAAGTTAAGCATTCTGCCCAAGGTCACACAGCTAAAAGTGGCAGAGCCAGGATTCAAATCCACATAATATAGTCCCAGAGCCCAAGGTCCTAATATCTTTCCACTAAAGAGATGGTGAGATGAGAATGAGTCTGAATAGACTATTGAAAAGATAAAATATGATTACTTCATGAATTAAAGCTGAATTATGAAAGTGAACTACACAAAGATCCAGCAGGTAAAGTTCATAAGTAAAATAGGGGTGCAGGACGTCCGGGGAGAGGTCTGTGGTGACCTGGAGACACACCCCCCAAGTGAAGGGGACAGAGTACTAACTTCAGCTGACTTCTGCCAAATGGCCTTTCTCTGTAAGCATCATTCTCCTTCCACACACCTCTGCCTCTCATGCTCACCCCTTACTGCACACCTGCACACTACTGGGGAAAGGGCACACCTCTGCTGACTGATCTCACTTTAAATCCATGGCTGTGGATTCCAGAAGCCTTTTCACACTGCTTGGGAGTGGGTACCCCCATCCCTCCTCCTCCCATCTCAGCTCTCTCTGCTCTCCTCATGACGCCCTCTCCTCCTCACCCTACGCCTGCTCCAAGCAGCTCTTGGCGAGTGGCCTTGCCCCATGCACCATCAGGAAGACCAGAGCTGCGTCCTGCAAGGCTGGCCTTTAGGATCTCCTTGCCTTCAGGTTTCCTGCTGCGTTTGGTCAATGGGAGAAGCCAGCAAGAGACTGGAGGGTGAAAGAGGTCATGAAATGGTCGTGGCAACATTTCTCTGCTGAAGGACCCAGCTCCTGCCAGGCAGCCTTTCCTGCACTACAACCTCTCTCTCCAGGTTCTGAGAGCCCTCCTTCCCCTTGAGACTGCAGATTGAGGGCTGAGAGTGGTGCCCCTCTGTTGCTAGCTCTGGGGTGTTTGGCTATCCAGTGTTGGTTTTCCTTAACTCTCTGCCCACAACTTTATATAGTCCCTTCATCAAACTCTCCTCCATTTTCCCATTTAAGTGTGCCTTCTGTTTCTTGCCAGGACCCTCACTGATACAGCACCCCAGCTTACTTCTCCAGTCCTCACCTTTTCCCAGAATGTCAGAATCTTAAATCCAACTGGCATTATGATATCTCCATGTGTACGCTCACCATGCCTCTCCTGCTTAACTTAGCCCAGCTAGAATTCTGAATTTCTGACCACCCCAAACTTGCTCCCCCTCCAGTTTTCTCCATCTCAGTAAGATGGAGCCATCATCTACCCAATCATGTAAGCTCCAAATCTAGGCTCCTTTCTTGATTCCTCTTTTTTCCCCCACTTCTTATAACCAGTTCATCAATGGGTCCTACAGACTCTCTAAAATATGTTCTGAATTGGTCTTACTTCTCTCCACCTGCACTCACCAATCTAGTCCTAGCTATCCTCTCCCGCCTAAACTATGCAGTAGTCTCTGAGTCCATGAGCCTCCCCTCCTACCCCACTACACCCCATTCTCCACAATGCAGGAGGAAACACCTTTTAGCAACATCAATCAGACTATATCACTGCTAGTTTAAAGCCACCAATGACGCCATATTATAAAAAGCGCAAGCTCAGCAGAAAGTCCTATGGAAACCAGCCCCTGCCTTCTCTCTAACCTCATCTGACCCAGATATGTTCTTCCTGGAGGCTTCCCGAACACAACGAAATCTCCCCAACCATGCCTTCTCTTCCCTTCTGATCTTTGTATGATGGATTCTTTCCCATCCCTGTTCAAGTACCTCTCCCTTACACCCAGTCTCAGTCAGTGACACTTGCATTAATTCTTTGCATCACGAATAAACAAAACGGCAATTCTCTCCTCCCCAGAATGTGAGCCCATGAGAGTAGGGTCTTCTCTCCACTGTTCACCACTGCCTCCCTGGCACCTAGTACAGAGTGTTCTCGAAAGTCAGTATCCTACAGACATTTGATGTACAAATGAGTATGAGAATGCTTGGAGGGGTTCATGCCTCTCTTCCTAAAATTTTGCATCGGAAAGTTTCTAGGAGCTACAAATCCATTAACTTTTTCTGTTGTTCTCTTGCAGCAGAGGGTGCAAACCCAATACTAGATCATCATAATCCACTTTTCCATTTTTACAAAACTTATTTAGTTTCATTCAAACCTCCAATGTCCTTTCTGCAGTTTTCTGCAGTCTTCATCTATTGAATCCCCTAACTGACAGCATTTGCTCTTGACACATCACACAGCACGGAAAATTACAGGCTGGTGTTGAGGCTGATGGTGTCAGCATGTACTTGTGAATGCCATAAAACACTGAAATGAGACATATTGCACTCCCTAATACAGGAGGTAATTTGTTTTTTGGACTGCCTGGTATTTGTGACATTCATTAGTGAGAGATGCAAGAGGAAATAGAATTACACAAATGTTCATGTTCTATTTGCTATCCGGCAGGGACATGTGATCGATGGTACCGCTCTGCTCCCCAGTCCCCCAGCGTGGTGCTGAGATGCTGTTTCCAGCTTTTGTGCCTCGCAGTCTGGACCAGGGCACAACCTTCTCTTCCAGAAGATCTGGAGGAGCTTCAGTCCCATTTACCCCCACTTTCCTCTCTCCAGTGAACCCAGTTTTGGTGGGAGGTACTCCTGAAAAGGGTGAGGCTCCATGAACTGGATAAGGAGATGTTCCTCTTCCACACCTGAATGATGATAATCCCTTCCCAATTTGCAGAAGTAAATTTAAGTCATTAGACAGCTCAATTTCAAGGATTTTTTTTCGCTGCTGCGCTCCATTTTTTTTCTTTCCTAAAAGGTTTTATAACTACTATGGTTAGTTTGCAAGAGTGGGTGAAGAGAAAGAAAATAGTAAGTGTCAGCTATCAAATCTCATAGGTCTGCTGCTCTGCGTTGCAGGCTCACCTTTTGGCAAATAATTAAGAACGAACCACTACTGCTCTACACCAGAAACTAACACAACCTTGTAAACTGACCTTATGCCAATCAATCAATCAATCAATCAATCAATAAAATTTTTAAAAGAAAGAAAAAGAAAAAAGAAAGAAAGGGAGAAAAACAGCATAAGTTCTGGAACCAGACTTCCTGGTTTTAAATCCTGGCTTTATGACCCACTAGCAGGGCATATTTGGTTAGTTACCCAATCTGTGCCTCAGTTTCCTCACATGTAAATGGGGATAGTAATGCTACTTGTCTGGTAGGCTGTTGAGAGGATTAAGTGAGTTCATTGACATCTGGCAGCCGGTGCTTAGACCAGCACTGGCCCACACTGAACTCTGCATGAGAATTCACTGGCACTGTTAAGGGTGGTAGAGCATGTGGGTTTCAGAAAAGGAAAGTCCTGTTTCAATCTGGGCTCTGACATGTGCTTCACGGTCTTGGACGAATCATTTGTTTCAACTTCACAGATGAGGAAACCAAAGCTCTCAGAGTTTTAGAGGACCTATCTCACCAGGTTATTCTAAGGAAGAGCAACAAAGGACGCAGAACACCCAGCGCAGCCCTGGCTCCGAGTAGGAGTGCAATAAACGAAGACAACAGTCTTATATAAATAATTATAGACCTTGAAAATTAATTATGTATTTAAAATATTTTATGTAGCATTGTTGTTTAGCTGAGCAATCTATCTGACCATCTGAGTTATATTTTCTGCTAGGAAATTTTTTTCCTAGTTCATAGGTTAGAACCAAATATCACAATATTCCACGGTGTTCTGCAAAAAGCTCTATAATTTCCTCGGCTGCTTAAACAGATTTAAGGATACTAATAAAAGTGCCATGAAACATGGGGACCAATGAAATCCTTGGCTGTACCTACAGAGGCTTAAGAATTAAATCTGACAACTTTAGCCACTTACCTAGAAGGCCACAAGTCGAAATATAGCCAGTTTAGTGTTTCACCTGAAATTAATCTGAGAAACTTGAGATTCCACTCGGCATGTCCAGTAGAAAATAATTAATTCTAGAGGAAATTTGCCTGAATAATACTGGTGAAGAGCATGAGACAAGGGGCCAGATGTCTCATGTTGTGTCATTCTGGCTCATCAAGAATCAAGATGACTTTGAACAACCAATTAGGCTCTCTGGGACTCACTTTCCTCCCTTGGAAAATGAAAGAGCAGGTATCTAGACCCTCCTAGTTCTAAAATGCTATTATTCTAATTCAAAGATGTGACATTGATTGTGGAAGCATTTGAAAGCACAGTCTCTTTTTCCTAAGACTGGGCACCCTTTGATGCTCATAGCCATGTTAAGAAGCTTTGGGGTTAGAGCCCGGTGCATCCTGGAAGCACGCCCACCTCTGTGGATGGAGATGTCTATGGCTGAGCCAGAAAGGAAGGCAAATGAAAATAAACTCTTACCTTTTAACTTCTTTGGCATCACTTGCGATGAAAAATCCTAAAGTACCTTCTTGGATCTTAAGATGGTTTCCAGGATTAATTAATATACTGCTCAGTGAACAAAAACAAAGAAAGAAGACACAGTTGTAAGGTCATGTTCTGAAGAAAACCTTGTTGGCTACACCATACTGTTATTTTATAGGGGGCCCACTAGTCTAATGCTTCCCCCAAAGATTTTGCCTAGAGCCTGACGTCCACTGTCCCACACATGTAATTGGATACTACCATCATAAATCTCCGCTGCCCAGTTCCCAGGCTGGCATCGCCCCAGTCGCAGATATCAAAGCAAATCTAGGTTTGGGAGCTGAGTCTGAACAATGGGATTGCCTTTGTGGGCTTCTGATTTGAAGCAAAGTTCCTAAATGTATCCCTTAGAAAACTGCTGTTGAAGGTCAGTGTTGACTGTGATTGGTTTAACAGAGCTATTGCTACAAAAATTTTCCATTTGATAACATAGCATTCATGGGACCCCTATATGCATATAGAAACATACGTGTATACACACCACATATTGCCCAGGGAATGGTATGAGACCCCTGTAACCAGTGCAGAAGTAAACGGAACATCTGCACAACCCTGATAAGGACATGGAAGCGAATTCCATGTGCAGCCAATGTAGAAAGAATTGGACCTACCTTAGCAAAGAGAAAGAAAAATGCCAGCAATGGGAAACACTTAACGATCGCAGTCTATTTACAAAAATGTAAGGGAGTGTTTGAATAAGGTATGTGTCTAGTACATCCTGATGGGGGCCAATTGTAATTAAAAAACACGTGCAAATTAGCCCTTAAAAAAAAAAAGAAACTTCCCCCGCAGGGAGGCAGGAACCTAAATATACACTGTCCTATTTCAAAGTGGTATAAATAGATTAGCTGACCAAGTTGGATTTGGACTGACAGAGAGATAAGTGTATCCTAATCTAATAAATGGATGAAACAAACAAGTTTAATTTTCTTCAGGTCAAAAACAGAATACAGGAATATCTTACACAGAGACTGAGATGAGGCTTTGGGCTTAATGGACATGGAATTCAGGCATTCTAAATGCAGCCGTAGACACAGCAGACATTTTCTTTGATCTGAAAAGCTGGTGTTTAAGGTAATAGATGTTTGGAATCAGGCTCAAGAAAGTCTTCAACTGCCTAACACAATCAAAATGGAGGGAAGTATTTAAAATCATTCCAGAAAAGTGCTGGGACCAACTGAGTGATGTATGTGTGGCAAGGCAGGAAGGACCCAGGTGAATTTCTGTTCTGTTCCGAGAACTCAAGAGTAGATCATTATTGCAAAATGTTTGTGCTCACAAGAGCATCCATTATTACCCATAACAAGACCTGACAGGAGGAAACCAGTCCTGTGACATCGCTGTGATTAACGCTAAGTAATAGGAGTCCATGAAGATTTGATTTGAGTGTCCTGCCCTAGAACCAAAGGCAATAGAGAGATTCCTCACCAGTCAGGAAGCAGCAGGTCACGCTAACAGCGCAGCTTGTGACAGGCAGGGGCGCTGCATAGGCACCTCCTAGTTATCCCTCCAACACTCTTCACCTAGGTTTAACAGCCCTCTGACTTTTCACGATCATAAGAGGGAAAGGGCCAGAGTTTCTACCACTTAGATGGAGTCCTTTTTCAAAGCCAGTGAAATGCAATGCTTTAGAAGATCAGAATGCTGGATTTTGCGTACTTCCTTTCCCCCTTGCCTGCAGGGCAGTTCTTCTGCACCCTGGCTCTGCAATCAGAAATTGGATCCAAATTCCAGCCCTGCCATTCAGTAGCTGTGTGACTTGGGACAAGTCACTAAACCTCCCTAGAACTTAACTGCCTCATCTACAAGATGGTGATGATCAGCCTAGTCTTTCTTCAGAGGATTCAGGGAGATAAGGCACAGAAAGCTCAGTGCAGATTGCTTACTGTCATTTTTATTATCTATAATGGCCAAGAAGAGCCAAAAGTGTATTTCATTTTTAATGAAATGATCACTTCAGCTGGCCCCATGGAATGGAACCCAGGACTTCTTATCAAAATACCCTCCCCATAATGAGATGAAGGACTGTTCACTCAAGAATAATAAATACAGGGACATAATGAAAAGCTCTGGATCCTTCTGGAGTTTAAAGGAGCTAATTCCTTAAAGTTAGAAAAGCCTACATTTTGATGTGTAGTCATATAAAAGTGTAAAAAGGCTTCTTGAGTGGAAAAAAAATCCCATCTGATTTTTAACAATACAATTCAAAAGGGGAAATTTGACACTCATCAATGTCTTGGTGACATATATGCGCAAAACAAGTCTCGCACAGAACCCTGTTTTCCTTTTTTACATCCTGTGCTTCATTAATTGCACAGAGTGATCAAGCCCATTGCATCATGGTGGGAGTTCGGTGAGAGTAAGGTTCCCATCAATGGAAAGCTTCTTCTCATTTCCTTTGTTCTCTAGTAACAAAGCGAGTAAGAACTGGCATACAGTGAGAATTCAGGACTGTCATTCTGGAGACAGCAGGTTGAGATAATTTGTCACAGCCTTCGGGCTTGCTTTAGTCAAGTTAGCATGGCAGAGAGGAAGTGTTCTGGGCGCTGATGTAAGGCAGATTTGTGTTCAACTCTCAGTTTTCGTGGCCGACGTTGGTTCAGTGAGCAGGTGACTGTGTCAGGCTGACGAGCTTAGGTCCTGGCTTTGGGCGTGTACCTGCCACTAAGCCTCACTCTTCTCATCTGTAAAATGGGGTGAATAATCACTAGCTTACAGTGTCACTAAGAGAATTAAAGGACACACTGTGTGCTGAGGGCCACATGGTAGGACTTTAATTCATGGTCAAAATAATTACCAAGTAAACGAGAGGTAGATAATCTCTCACAGCATCACAGCTCCCCGTTTTGTCTTTGGTGCTAAAAAACTACCTAGGAGGCACTCTACTGGCCTTGAAAGATCTTTGTACTGATAGCAGTATCCAAAACATTTTACCCCCCTGCAACATCTGGGGATGAGCTCATTTGCACTGGTTTTTGGCTGCACAGTGGAGTACCTCTATTCTTTAAAACTTACAGCTGATTGTGTAAGGCACTAAAAGCACCTCCAAGGACATCACTGACTGTGCGACTCCAGGATGCCCTGTTGTTCTCTTTTGGATGGGGGAGAGGCTTTAAATCATCTCATGAAAGATGTGAGGTTGCCTCATTTGCAAATATCCCAATCAGGCTAAGGCAGCCTTCTGGGTGGGAATCGAGAGACTGAGCTCAGCTCTGGAGAATAAATGAAGAAATCTATATACATAAAGAAGCTCATTGTGCTGGATTCCACTCATAGATGTAAGGGTTTGGTAAAGAAAAAGGTGCCCCTGATTTCAGGGGACCACTGCATATAATACGTCCTGTGTAAGGATACAAAGTTTCAAAGTCTCTTTGAGAAAATATATTACCTTTTTGATATTTTAGACATTGAGTCGTCTATCCACGTTCCAAATCTAGAAAGTTTAAATGGAGTAAATCCTCCTCTCTTTGAAAATATAAAAAGATAAGGATCTTAGACAGAAGAAACATTTTTTTCCAGCCAAGTGCCTGCTACCCTTAGAATACATTATTGACCGTCTAATGGGAATATGTAAATCTTCCCAAAGATCTTTGATCTCTTAAAAGAATATCCAGTGTTAAGTTTGTTTTGCTCTTGTGACTGCCAAACGTCCCTGTGTGCATCACATTAAATCAGTCTCTTGCTCCAATTTTGTCTAATTCACTAGCTTATCAGAGATAAACTTCAAGATGTGTCATGTGAAGAATCAAGAAAATCTCTAAGAAAAAAGTCCATATATCAATTAGCAGAATTCCAACAGGGATACATTCTTGGCAGGGGTGGACGTTCTCTCATTTCAAGGAACTATAAATTATCTCCTTCTTCTATGACCTTGTTAATTTCAATGGAAACCATTCAGTAACAGCTGGAGGCAAAGGGCTGGTGTGATTCCCTTTCCCAAGGATTTTTGCTCTCTTTTTCTCTTTCTTTTGCTCTCAAACTAGTTTTGTACCTGGACTTACTCTTTTAGCTCCTTATCCACCCTGTGGAGCAAAGATACATTTTCTATAGGGAACCCATAGTGAAATAAAGGGGTGAAAAGCATAATCTTGTTTTATTTACTTCTGTAAATAAGTGTCTCATAGTAGCCAGTTTACAGCCCTGCAGGCAATGGGCACATTTCAACTATTTGTTGAACGAATGAAAACCATAAGCATTGGTCTCAGTTCCAAAAGTGTCTCTTTCCTTCTCTAATAAAGAGAAAGGTAGTCACAGCTGTTCTTTCCAAGACCGAGCTGCAATTCTCATCCGTCGGGGCTACCAAAGGAGGGACCATGTTTCTTCTAAGGGGTTTTGGCAAATGAGCTAACAATCTCCCAAATGCATTAAATATAAATACGTAAATGTTCAGATATAGAAACGGCTAGTCATTTGGAGAGTTGGCACAATTGATTTCAATACCGAAAATCCACCATTCCCTTAGAACTGAAATATGTGTCCACATTCACATGGAATCACTAGTGGGGCTCAGCCCAACAGGGAAAAGTGTCTTTCGGGTTCCCCCAGGAGGGGAGCACCAGACCTCACGCTGAAACTCATTTCATGGTGTATCTTTCACTGAACTTTGGTCAGGTTGGAGATTTGGGGCTTAATGGGGCAAAATAATGTGTTCCTTTTCTCCACCACTTATGCATAACAATTGGGAAACATCTAGTCCTTCCTCTGTCAATCATCATGAACTCGACTTGTTAGCTGTTTGAGGGGAAAACCAAGGATCAGTAATTCAACTGAGACAGATATTTTTTAAAGGAAACGTTTATCCATTATGGATAAATATGACAGATGCGTATTTCTCTCCACTCCTCTCAATTTTGGTAGGGGTAGCGTACCATTCCCTGGGCAATTACAAAAATATCACTCACATAAGAAGAGACTTCGTACTTGATAACATGGTGATTATGTCTATGTCCAGCCAGCTACTGGGACGTCATTAACTAGAGCGAGAAGATAAGGGCCATCTAGGACTTCAGTTCATGCTGTGCCCAGATGAATCATGCCACTGGGAAGCGGCCTCTCTGACCACACAAGGTCGTATACGATTGTTGACCCAACAGTTGCCCTGTAGTTTATGGGCTGTGTTAGGGCACAGCTTACAGAAACCCCAAATCTCAAATCTTATTGCCTTCCTGGAACTTTTCGTTTCTTCTAGGCTTTAAAATATATTCTGCTGGACTCCCACACAACTAGACACACGCACGTTTATTTAAAGAATATATGTAAGAGCCCAGTGTGTATTCCATGCTTCAATATATCTGAGCCCAAGTCACTTACACAGAGACAGCATAATAAAGATTGCTCCCAGTTGGTCACATTTGAGTGACCGCCACCGTGGTCTGCCAGTGACAGAGGCAAGGACTTGCTTAGCCTGAATCCATCTCAATAATTTTAGAAATAGCAACTTAAAATCTATTTTGCACATAAGGAAAACAGTAGCCATATGGGATGGGGAAGAGAGAGTTCATTTGGGAAGGACCAGGCTGGAAATTTGGTTCTGGGAGCAAGCCATGTCACTTTCTTATACGCTTTCAGACAAGTCATGCCTACATCACAACATGCTTCCACCACAAGATAAAAGGACTCAAAGGCCAAAAGCCAACAGCAGAGGTGCAACCACTGTGGACCTTTGAAGATGCAAAGTGTTGCAGTAACTTCTCGCAGTTGGATCATAGCAATAATACCAAACTGACAGGAAGCCACCTCTACTCAAAAAAATCACACAAGAATCTGACTTTGGAGAGAGTTCCAGACAAATACACACACAATTACAAACACAAACACGTGACAGTGAATACAACCACAGAGCAAAACAACTCTTGAGAAGATGAACAAGTAGGCATCTCAATAGAATGTTTTCAACAATACGATCTTAGAGAACACATTATTAAAAAAAAAAAACTACACCGGAAATATTACCCAAAATGTTAGGGAGAAAAAATTATCAGTGAGGATTTTGTCATGCTTCATGCAACATAAAACAGCAGCAAAACAGGGTGAAGTCACACAGTAAAAGTTGAGATACTTTATATTAAGAAATATGCCCAAACACACTGGGAAAAAAAAAGAAAGCCATGAGGTCATTTCAATAAACAGTACTCATTCAGTAAATCAAATGTGGTAATCTGACAATTTAGTGGCAGTGCGCTAAGTCTGCACTGAGTACCGGCCCAGAAAGAAAGTACGCAAAATGCTATCATCAAAATGAGCGTAAGGGAAAAGAGTTACGTATAAGGGCTTGGTCTCTGTTTTGTGGATAAAAGGACACAAATTCAGGTCTACAAACTGGAAACCAGACACAGTGGGGAGGAGGTCACTGGGAATGTGGATGTGGTATGCAGACAGATGGTACCACAGAGTCTGGTGGACACAAAGACACATCAGGACAGGACGGAAACAGACACTAAGGGCTGGAGAGAAGCGTCGTCCTTTTCAACTTTAATAGCATTGGTTCCTATAATTGGTGCCATGACTGAAAACAGGATGGGGCCTTTGGTTTTTTGTAGGTTTCCTGCAAAGAAGTTAGTGCGTCATCCGAATGAATCAACAAATCAAACAAGAAAAGCAATATACTACTTTCACTTTTTAGGTACTCTGGTTGGAAAGAGGTTTGTATATAAACATACATATATATACACACACATATATATGTATCTACTAGACAAGGGAATGAGATTATATATACATATACACATATATATAATCTCTATCTTCCTGAAATCTTGGCAAAGGGTTAGTCCTGTGGTTGGAAGTGAAGACAGGGTGGAGGTTGGGAGGAAAGTTAACGAAGAGGGCATACCGCTTTCGGCTTCTGCAAAACGACAAGAAAAGAATTGAAAATCAAACAATTTGATAATAAATCGACTGACACGAGAAAGAAAGAAGGAATAAAACCTTTGTTTCAAATTATTCTGAGGATGCATGTGAAAACAAGGTTTTTCAGCAAAGCATGGGAACAGTATCATGGGGTGGAACAGCAACAAAAGAGGTAGTTCACACAGGTCGGAGGCACGGGGTGGGAAAGAGAAGCGAGTTCTCAGAATTTGAACACCCGGTCACTTAGGACCCGTGAGAGGAAGGGAAATTGGACACTTTTAAATGAAGGACAATGTTATCTCAGGAAGGGTCAGAAATGCAGTTCTTTTTAACATGGCTACTATGTTTAAGTCCCGTGTTTTCTCAGAGGAATGATCCACATTCCCCCAAACACACCTTTTTCCACAAGAACCAATGTGCTTCCACACTGAGACCAAGCCACATTTGAGGGTTAAGCTGGCAACTGCACACAGAAAGCCAAAACCAAGCCAAACAAGTTCTTTTCACCCTTTTCTGGAAAAAATAAAATCTAAAAAATTATCTATATGTATAAACATGGCTTTGTTGAAAACATCTCAGTTCGTGAATTCCTTGGAGCCTCCATCAAATAAAAGATTTTGTCTTCACAGAAAGCTCTGAGTTATTTTTCTTAGGATGGCAACAGTGGATTCACATCGAACCATGAAGGGCCTTTCTCTCCCCCTCCTTGGGACCAAAAGGTGGCAGGTGGGAGATGACGGGTCAAGGTTCACGGTACAGTCTTCTGCCATGAAATTATTCCAGAATCATCCAGAAACACTACACAGCATCACCCGCATTGTGACCTTTTTTTTAAGAGATGCACAAAAGTGATAAAGAGAGAACACTGAACTACACAAAGATTTACTGACTTAGCAACATGGAGAATATCATTTGCAGAAACCCAGGATACACATCTCCCTGCACAGGTACAGGTGAGTACTGGCAACAGCCTGGGCCAGCCTGCAAGCCCAGAAACACCCACCTTATCTGTTCAACAGCAAATAGCCAAGAACTTTCTGTTTTTTTGTTTTTTGCAAATAATATTCCTCACTTTGCCAAAACAGAAAAGGAAAATATATGTCTACAATAGGTATTTGTTAACAGCTGCTGCCATGTTCTACCACGTGGCCACCAAATCTACCATGTTGTCTTCCATTTGGTTGATTTGGATTTTCAAGATAATTTCCCATGTGATCAGACTGACTTTGTGAGCAACCTGATCTGGTGGTTAAGGTAACAAGAGAACACTGGATTGACTTGCTTACAATCCAGTGTCTGGTTTGTTTGTTGGTTTGGTTTTTGGTATTTGAGACAACGGACTGTGCATTTGGAAGTCTGGCTTTATCGGGTTATTCATCCAGATAATGAAAACTCCTTAAACGGTGATAGCCGGAACTTTCTAGTCTTGACCTGTTCTCTGCTCAGTTATGGAGGCGTATGTTGGAGGGTATATGCACCCCATCCTTGGGCATCTATAGGAAGACTTATTTAGTGTAGCTAAGAACAAACCATGGATGTCATTTCAGAGGACAAAGCCCTGAGCATTTCTCAGTGAGCTCTCTTCCTTCCAAAACTATCGATAAGAATTAGGGAGCAAAAATCATCTCTCTTTTATCTGCAATGCACACAGTACTCTATCAACAAAATGCCTTGTTAATGCAATGCTTCCTTCTTACAGGCAAACCCATATATTGACTGAGGTGTTATCTATTTCGACCAGACCCAGTCCCTCATCAGTCTGAGTTGCACATAATTAAGTGCAAAATAAATAAGTAAAGAAGGCTCCTGCCTCCAAGCCCTGCTCTCCTGGCTGATTTACATGAAGCTGATATTCTGCCACCTGGATTTCAGTTGCACCGGGAGAAACACATATGGTACACAATAGGCTGCTTGTAATTTGGCTATCAAGAGAGCTGGTATCTCCCATCACGGCTCTGCCCCATGCCTGCTATGAAGGAGGCCAGAGTCCACCTGCTTTTTGCTCATAGCAGTAAAAATGGGTTTAAGGACAGGGTCTGTCCTCAGTTATGCTGAGAGGGTGCAAAGTGCAAGCCAGCATGACTGGGTGGAGGTTTGGATGCCTCATCCCTTTCCCCAGGAGAAAATGCTCTGAATGTCTGGTGGGGCCTGGGATGCCAGGAGTGCCTGGGATAGAAGAGCTGTGTCCGGTCGAACACGCCTTGAAATGTGCCTTTGAGGCAGAGAAGTGTGGCATTAGGATTCCAAGCAAATAAATAATGTGTAAGAAAGAAGTGGACTGAACGTTCCCGGGGGGCACGCTCACCATCATAAGTGTCAGCCACCCGCTGGCTCGCGGCAAACTTACCGGCTCTCTCGGTTGGCAGACTTGTACTCAATGGCTATCATTAGAAGCTTGAGCTTCACAAAACACAGCCTGCAATGAGGAGGAGAAACGCCCAGTCAGTGCTTCAGAACGACCAGAGCCACATAACAAACACTCTTTCCATCTCCTGATGCGGTCATTATCCAAGGGACCCTCATGCTATGGTCACTGTGCCAATGGGAGGGGGATGGGAGCCACACCTCCGCTTCTTCCCCATTAGACTTGATTTCTCGCGAGCGATAAGGTGCTGAACGTTCAAAGTGCAAATTACACTCAGGTCTGGATGTCTAGACACAGACCCCAAGCAGGGATCTGTGCCTGGGGATTTATGCCAGGCCAGATTCATTAGTTACTCGGTCAGGTAGTAAAATGTTAACTGCAGGGGGAGGGAGGTATTTGGAGCAGCTGGACCTGTTATTTGGATCCCATTTCGGTCGTTTGCACAAATGGCTCATATTGTTGTTCCGAGCAGACCCCTGTGCGCTCGGAATGATGGTAATAATCCTTAGCCTCCGTGTAAGTGCCCAGCACATGACGACGGAACCGTTACTCCTGGCACCATCCAAGCTGTCTCACCGCATCTGCCCTCTGCTCTTGCCCACAGCCCAGGCTGCTTCGAGGCTGGCTGGTTCCTGCCTCCAGGCCTTCACTCAAGCAGTTCTTAGCCCCAGAATGCCTTCTCCTCTCCTCCCTATCTGTGCTCCAGGCCCACGTCACATCTAACCTTCCGTCTAGGCTTCCTCCAGCTCCTGGCACCCTCTGATTTTCTGTTCTCAGAACTCCTCCAGCATCTCATGTGCAACCACGTCATTTAGCCCTTAGTTGATTTTAGACCGGCTCTGATCACTTCCTACTGTTTCATGTGTCTGAACTTTCTCTCTCCCACCAGTACTATTTCTTTAAAGCTTGTGGACTTGTTTGGACTTCCCCATAGTCCTGCTCGTGGAACTACTGATACAGAGAAACTTCAACAAATGATATCCGCTTACTGAGGTTTAGTTTCAAGAAAACTAAAAAAAAGTTCAGTCAAGCATTGAATGTGTAAAGATGTTCAAGGAAGTCATACTAATATAGAGTTTAAAAAAAAATGGAAAGCAACCTAAATGTCCAATAAAAAGGCAATGGTTAGATAAAGTAGGGTACAATATGCTATTAGCACTCAAAATGACTTTTTGAAGAATATTTCCAGGTATAAGATCAACAAATAACATTATATAGGTACAAATATGTAAATAACCTGGTACAGTTAGGTGAAAAATCTCTATGTAAAAACTCATAGAAATAAAAGCTCACATAAACAAAAAAAAGAATTATACGCATTATGTACTATGGGTTTCTAAAATGGGCATTATTGCTTATGTTTTAAGGACTTTTGGGTAGTAAAACAGTGGTTGACTGTTAGGTTGAGAAATGAGTTGATGGTTATCCAGCATTGTAAGGGGCAGGAGGTGCTGGGTCACAGGTCAGGGCCTTCATGTTCTCATTTAATCCCCTATAAGATCCCTACGAGAGAGATGTTACCCCAGTTACTCAGACTTCTATTGGTATCTCTATTTTACAGGTGATGAAACTAAGGTTCAGAAAGCTCATGTAACTCGCCCAAGGTCCCCAGCTAGTACCTGACAGGATATACAACATCTTCATCCCCAGTGAAGCCTATTTTATTTTGGGAGAGATATGCAATAAGCAAGTATATAAGTAAAAAAAAAAAGTAATAATAAGTTTCCCAGTGAGGACAAGTACTGTGCAGAAAATAAAACACCTTCGAAGACAGAGTAACTGAGAAGGTGTGTTATGTGTAATGGTCCAGGAGGACCACTCTGTGAAAGTAACACTAGAGCACAGAGCACTGGAGCAGGATGAGAAGAGGCAGGCAATGAGAGAATCTGGGGAAAGAGCTTTTGAGGGAATGGAAACAGCAAGTGCAAGGGCCCTGTGGCAGGACGGAAGTTGGGGTGTTTGAAGACCACCATTAAGGCTGCAGCTGAGTGAGCAAAGTCAAGAATGACAGTAATTAGGTCAGGGAGTGACCACAGCAAGGAGTCTGCAAGTTATTCTAAGTGGAATGGGGGGCTCTGGGTTGGTTTTAAATAGAAAAGTGACATTATCAGACGCTCTGGACCTGTGGATGTGCAGCTTGCAGGCAGGATGCTGGTGAAGGCTGCACGCTCTCTGATGGGAACAAGAGTGATTGCTCATTCCTGACTGGGTATGGGCCCCTGTGTTGCTTTCAACAGACAGTCAGATTTCAAAGGACCACTTCCATCCAGGCTTATTTGGGCTCTCCCGGTGATTTGCAGGTTTTCTGATTCCTGCCAGCAGACTCTAATGACCTGGGCTTTGTGCTGATTATGCAGTCTGCTGAAACACCAACCCACATATCCACTACAGCTGGAAAAATGCTCTTCTTAATTTATGTTCCATACAGTGCAGGCTAACACACACCCTTTATGGGACTGTTACTTCTGAAGCTTAAATTGTTTAAAATATCAGATGGCTTATGCAATATTTGTTGAAACAAATTACCAGGTTAAGTAAGCACTTTCTAATGTAAATAGCAACTAAGTGCCAAACTCAAGGAGAAGGCCGATCTTAGCACAGATCATGAAGAGGCCAATTTGCTGAAACCCTACGAGCAACCGCCACTCCGATTTGGGGCTGGTGGTTAAGGGAATCGAGGATCTTAATTGCTCTAATGACCTTGATCTTATTGGTGAGAAGGGAAAAAACAGTTCACAGTAATGGCGAATTATGTCTTCTTAGCTACTTAGATATCATTTACCAACTAGATATAAAAAGAAAGGAGCTTTCTAAAGTCAAAATCTACATGGTGTTGTGCATATTTCTTACCTAGCACAGGGTGGGCCAGCAGATCTTGGAGTGCTCTCTCATAACTTTCAAATCTATATCTAAGATGATTTTACACAGCCTTATAGAAACCTATTTTTAAAAATCCTTTGACCTAAAACAAGCTTTTGTTCACTGGCCAAAGGGATGAAGAAGAGAGGGACAGAGTAATGTAAACTAAGTCATTACAGGCACACCTTGGAGATATTGTGGGCTTGGTTCAGACTACCACAATAAAACAAATATAACAATAAAGCAAGTCACATGAACTTTTTGGTTTCTCAGTGCATATAAAAGTTATGCTGACACTATACTGTGGTCTATTAAATGTGCAATAGCTTTATATCTAAAAAAAATAATGTACATACCTTAATTAAAAAAATACTTTATTGCTAAAAAATACCAAAACAACTACAATAGTAACATCAAAGATCACTGATTACAGATCATCATAGTAAATAAATATTGAGAAAGTTTGAAATAGTGTGAGAATTACCAAAACGTGACACAAAGACACGAAGTGAGCTAGTACTACTGGAAAAATGGCACCAAAAGATGTGCTTAATGCAGGATTGCCACAAACCTTCAATTTGTTAGAAAGAAAGAAAGAAAAGGAAAAAAAAGCAACATCTGTAAAGTGCAACAAAGACATATGCAATAAAAAGAGGTGTGCGTGTATATGCAAACAGTGCCACAACCGTAGATTTTCACACTCAGGCATTTTAAGACTGGCTGGTCCTGTCCTTTTCAGATAGATGAAAAAGCCTGAGGTCCAAAGAAGGGGAAGTGATTTGTTCAAGGTCAAATGGCCCTTCCAAAGAAAAGCCAAAAGTGGAAATCAAGCAACTTGCTCAAGATTAAACAACTTTCATGTAAAAAGGTCAAATGTAGAAATCAAGTCTCACTGCAGTATGCTACACAGATGCTTCTATAAAAGTGAAGGAAATGAAGTGGTTGCCAGAAGCCCAAAATGCAGAGAGGTACTGTTTGGTCAGCACAATATTTTTTTTTAAACTGAAATTAGATACCCACAGATTAATTTCATATAAAAACTAGCTTTTCAGTTTTCCTTGCTAAATCTGATATGGCCATACTGGAGCTGCATTTCATACAGCTAAAAGAGACTGCAGCTTGGGAGCACTTACTGCTCTGGATGGGACACGAGCTCTCCAAGGTGCCACAGTCCCCACCACTCCCTATCATCTCAGACCTTCTCCTTCTAATCCTTTGCTGCTAACTGCCTGCCCACTACAGGCATCTAGGTTATTTTCTCTGCTCTAATGAGTATCCTCTGGATGTTTGCAAAGTATAAATCTTGAGTCATTTACAATTTACCCTGTAAACAGAAAGATGTTTTTCCCTGTTTAAAATCATAATTTTTCATTAGTTCCTGCCAGAGTTGGCGAATGTCGGGGAGCTGGACTTGAGGCTACAGCTGAGGTACAGCCTCTATTATGGGCCCAGGGGAGGAGCAGATCAAGATGAGTGAACAGGGAGTGGATGTGGTACTGTGCGGTGGTAATCATTCATTCACTGTCTCTCTGCCCAATAAACCAAGCTTCTTCATTGCACGATGCACACTTTGTCTCCTTGGCATTCTGCCAAGTGCAAAGAGAAAGCTTTCAATAAATGCTTATTAAATAAATGTGTGAAAGAATGGGGAGCAGAATCTCCTGAGTTGCTGGAATGATATGAAATAGATATGGTGGTAAACTAGGAAAGTCTAGTTTAGCAGAGAAGGCTTGGAAGTGAGTATAAAATTGTGAAAACAAGATGCTTTTTAACTTGTTGGTTAGAAGCAGACAGGTAGGAGAAGAAGGGCATAGAAGGAAGTAATAGCAGTGACATGCTCTGGGAATCTAATGTTTGCCTTCAATCCGCTATGACATGATGTAAGTACAATTCTAAAATACAGAGAGCAATTTCTCTTTGGAACCCTTCAGAGATCCTGTTTATAAAGGGTTCCTCGCAAGAATATGCTTCAGGTTACTTCAAATTGATGTCCTGAAAGTAAATATTTACTTGCATCATTCAACGTCATTTTTTCGGTAAAGCAAAATGGGTTTTGCTCATCCAGTCCTTAAAGTCATTCTTACGGCTTATTTAAACATATACAGGATTGGGGTGGGAAGAAAAAGGAGGCTTAGCATGAGGTAGAGTATAAGAAAGAAGCAAGAAAGCATTCACAGTGTGATAAACAGGAT